AACTACTTCTTGGAGTTATTTTGGAATGGAAATGCACGTTACTTATAATAATGTTAGTTAATTAATTATTATACAGTCAAAATCTTTAATACGGAAACCAAAGGGACAGAACCAAGTGTCCGCTTTACAGAGATGTCCGTATTATAGAGGTAGGGAATGTATGATTGTTGGCATTTCTGGGACCAAAGGAACTGTCCGTATTAAAGAAGTGTCCATAAGAAGAGGTTTAATAGACTGTATAATTATTATGTTAATTTAATCATTTCAAGGAAAAAATTTTGAATTTTGTCAGTTCTAAAAGGATTATTTAATTGGCCATTTCCGAGTTCCCCCGGGCCTCTGTTTCAAAACGAGGGTAGATGCTCAGCGTTTTATATGGAAATCTTTCTTCATTCTCATGCAAATAAAACTCATTTTCACAAGAAAGGTTGCGCACCTAGCCTCATTTTGAAAGTGAGGGTTTTTAGAACTCGGAAGTGGCCTATTTAAATGGAAAAGTTACAGTTTTGGATATAAAAACTGTAGAAAATAGGAATACATTGTAAGGAGTCTCTTTTTTATTGTGAAAATATTTAATATACATATGTACATATTATATGAAAATGGAGAGAGAATTATTTTAATAAAATCTTTAATCCCAAAAATGCACCTAAATATGACTCTGCTTGATTTGTGTGTATCAGCGAAAATGGGTCATTTTGGATGCATGAAACGGTCCAGGGTTGTCTCACAAACGTCCACTTTTTATATACCGGATAGAATGAACATAGGATTCGAAACTGGATGGTTAAGTAAAGTTAACACATTTAGGAAATCTAGTGAATAATCCACCGAAAGTGGAATCTGGGTGAACATGAAGGCTGCAGAAAGTAAACCGATCAAACTGAGTTTCCGCATTCATTCTTCCGGGAACTTAACGGATAATTGAGTATCCTCTGAATTTACGAGCTGCGGAAACATGACGGCAGTTAGCGTTTCCGCAAGAGTAAACCTGACGGAAACGCGAGTATAAGGGATGCGTTTAAGCGCCTCCGCAGAAACTGAAACATGACGGATACACGTGTTTCCCGCAACGGTTAGTTACAATTCCGTCTGCGGATATTCAGGTTTCCGTGAGGTAACCGTTACAAAAACGGAAATGGAAACGCCTTTTTTCAACCTGTGTTAGACTATTTTTATGAAGATTAAAATCTTCATCTGCATTTCTAAGCTTTCTGTCTACGTTCATCCTTAGGTGTGAGGAAGCCCAAGCAGTTTCTGAAGTATATCTTAGCTCATATCAGCTTGTAAGCGGATATAAAATTTGTTTACATTGAAAAATTTCTCGGAAAGAGTAGATGGGGAATATGTCGTATTAGGCAGCTAAATGTTCACAGCAACCGGTCTTGGCACACTTGTATATCACTTAGCTTTCTCTATGTAAAAACCACATATAGTTTTTTACCCCTGAAATCGTGCACTATTTGAAACTCTTTTTTTCCATTCATTGCAAAGTGGTTTGGATTAAAATCATTGCCCTTAAATTCTTGGAGGAAGTGTGTGTCAATCATCTGACAACAACCCGCCCCCTTGAAATAAAGCTTTGCTTCCAAAAAGAAAGGCTTAACTGGAACTGCAGCTATTTAGCGGACGGGTGATCAAGATTTGGTTAGAATCAGTGTAGATTTTGTCAACGGAAGCAAATCAATGGCATCGGCATATGGTAGGAATATTTTTATAGGAATATTTTCATCTGGTCTTAAGCTTCAAAAGCGATGATTTAAAGGAAAAACCCTAAATTCTCATGTAATCAGTTGAGACACTCTTCTTGAAAACAAAGTCATATTAGTCTATGGCTAACTAGCTTTCTTTTCAATTCAGTTTGTTTGTTTGAATGCTTGGTTTTTTGAGTTTATAAAATGCATTGCATTAAATCGAAAACTTGAAACAGGTACTGAGAGTTACACCGACGTAAGTATAGACAAATCATTTCCATTGAAACTGGCGTGGAGCAGAAGCGTTCACTAATCTAAATCATTGGAAGAGGCAAATTCTGTCATGATACATATTTGGTAGATGCAAAATACTTACAGCATGGTCTTAATATATAAATATAATCAATCTATGGGATATTATGTTAGCCGCCAAATCAAGTCGACTTTGTGCCAGCTTGTTAAAGCAATAGGCCATTTGCACTAAGAGGTCATGTGACATTGTTTTCATGAAAATGAAAGTTATATGATTTTGCTTTCGAAAAACGATTAGTGAATCATATCTTAAACAAAATAACAGTGTTTTGGTTTTTCAAACCCACACCATTTCCTTAAAATGAGTAAGTTCGTAGCTGGTCACGTGACCAAAATGTGATTTTTTAAATTATGAATTACCTCTTTCTAACTACAAATTTTGCACTAAAATTTCAAGGAAAATGTTGAAAAGATGATGTGGGAACGTTTACAGCACATCTGAGCGTAACTATCAAACGTTTAACAAGACATAAGCAAAAAGTAGTTTTGGCCGCCATGTTAGAAGGCAAGAGTATGCCCTCCAACATGGCGGCCAATACAAATCATACTACTTTGTTGAAAAATCAAAGTGCCATAAAATACCTCCCTTAAATGCGTTTCCTCTCAAATTTCGGCTGTAAGATAATTTTTATGTGCTCTGTCAATTTTTGACATCAGCAAGGTTCCAACTCATTGTTTAAAGGAAGCATTGGTCACGTGACCTCTTAGTGCAAGTGGCCTATTCCGTGCCTGTTTGCAATCATCACTAGATTTTTTAAGAGCTAGGGTATTAATTAGCGACACTCTTGCATAGAGTAGGGCAGTGATGCTCACAATTAACGAAGAGGGACAGGATCACTATTTCGGGCCGTGTGTAAGCATTTTAATATCAGTTCTGCTTGAAGGCAGCCTTTCAAGCAGAACTGATATCAAAATGCGTAAATATGGCCATATGTAAATATGTCTTAATTCTGGGAAATACAGGAAGCAATTATGTATTGTTGAAACTCAATCGCCATCAGGAAAATAAATCTTTGCTCATCCCCGTAAAAAAATATATAATTCCCAGCAACTTCAAATCAAAGATCAAGTGCTCACTGTTTGGTGAGAATTCTCTCGGTTCCTTTTTTAGAGGGCGGCAAGTCAACATGGCATGGTACGAACAGGTTTATGTAGACCTATGCACCTTCAATAAAAAGGGTGTTTTTTTTCATAGAAGTTGACATAGAAGGCAGGTATAACATATGTGCACGAATTGAGGTTGCTAATACCTAATAATAAAGCTGTAAATAGTCCTCTATAATTTTGTTTTCATGTTTATTACATATTCCTTTGATCAGTCTAAGATACTAAAAAGCCATACATTATTACAGGGATGATCACTGGGTAAATCAAACAAGTTTAATTTCTTAAGCAGCAAGCATGTACGATGTTGTTACGCTTAATTCGTGATTGCCTGAAAGCAAAAGGTCTCCGTGTGATCCATGCGTCAGACATTGCTCCAGGGTGGAGAGAGCTCTTAAAATTCCACTTAAATATCAAGTTAAAAGGCTGGTACGCGCGTTAATTGAGGAATTATCGGTAGGCACTTTTGTACGAAGAATAATACCGATGGTTAATACAACTATTCGGGGATATTTACATACAACTTCCATCTTTTTTAACTATCAAATATATAAACAAAGTTCGCATAGAAGAACAGCGTTAATTTTTTCTTTGCTATGAATTGATTTAAAGATTCACTGTACTCACAAAATTCATCGTACATTGTTGTCGTGGCAATCGACTTTGGCACCACCTACAGTGGATTTGCCTTTTCATTCGTCAAAGACCATGGAACGAGTCGAGTATTCAAGAGCAGAGGATGGGTGAATGAAGACGGTAATTCGACAGAAAAGACACCCACGTGCTTGCTCCTTAATCCAGACCTTTCATTTGATTCTTTTGGATATGAAGCAGTAGAGAAGTATGCACATCTTCAAGAAGAATCAAGTGAACAAGCATATTACTTTTTAAAACATTTTAAGATGAATCTTCACAACGACCAGGTGAAGTACAGTAGTAGTTGTACATGCTAAGATTACTCAGGGATTCGGTCATGTTCGGACATATTTAATAATTTAAAACTGCTTTTACAACTGCGATGATCATATTCTCATTCAGTGTTTTATTCTTTTCCCTCAATCACTGGTTAAAATGAACTGTCATTGTTCATAGCCCGGTTGATTGGGCACTGTATCGCCAAAACAGAGGCCAGGGACCTGTTTCTCGAACGTCCCGGTAACGTCTCGGGCCCGGAAAGCTGCTTTCTGTTTGCCGCTTTTACATCCAAGATCAAAGTTCAATTGAAATTTAAAACGAAACCATCAGTTAACAAAGCAAAATTGACTGGTGTGGTACTATTTTTTGATTCACTTTAAAATTGGCCCTCAGAACGGAAAAGGTTCCAGGCTTTTCGAAAAACGGGCCCCCCGGCAGGGATCGAATCTCGTTGAAGCCGCCCCGAAACTATTTTCGGGTAAGTTGCAATTTCTTAAATTGCTATCATAACTGCGACGATCATATCTTCATATTATCAATCACTGTAAGTGCATGAGTTGTAGGGGTCACTAGTTTTTTGCGAAACACGATTGAATTTATCATTATTTTTGGTAATAGATAGTGGTTATTGAAAATTAATGCGAGATGAGTTACCATTTGATATAATAGACCTCTTTAGCTTGTTTGTTTCGTTTTTCTATCGTAGATCTCAAGGAAATTCACCTTTATCTTCTGCTAAATTAGGCGACATATACACATGGATGAGAAGAAGTTTGAAAGAATCAGTTCTCGCATAAGCTACATCCCTACATTGGGAAATCGAGACATACAAGTTATGGAGGTCTAAGTTGAAGCCTAACTTGTCTGCTTAGTCTCTGCTTTATTTCATCACTTACCATTTCTTTACAATTTCAGTTTGTTTACCCCTACACTCTGAAGACTTGACCAACTACTTGACTTCATCATTTGCCATTTCTGTACAATTTCAATGTGTTTATTTCTAGACTGTCAGTACGGAAACAACTATAGAAGCAGCGAATGGAAAGTGCGTCCGAGCCTTGAAAGTGTTTTCTCACTCAATTAAGTTTCTGAAAGATGAAGCTCTTAAGGTCATTTGTGAACGGACTGGAGATGAATATTTCAACGTAAAAGACATCCAGTGGGTGCTAACTGTTCCAGCTATATGGACCCCGGTGGCAAAACAATTCATGAGAGAGGCTGCTTATGAGGTTAGGCTCTATAGTGATTTTTTGTCCCTTTGTTTAGTCATGTTGCTTGCTTGATTTTATTTCTAAGAGTCCTTTTGCTTAGTTAAAATTTATTCTTTGTTAATGGATATGTATAGATCGATTCAAAAAAGACTACTACTTGTGTTAGAAGGAGCGCTATATATATAGAAATAATATAATATAGATTACTGGAGTCGGACATATATACACATGCATTTTTGACCAAGCGCTCCAGGCTCCTCCCCCAAGAAATGACAGAAGAGTTTGTCCTTACTGCTACGGTGGCCTTTATTTTCGAACTGTTTTGTGATCACTCAGGCCTGTTTGGGATCCTCTACTAATCCAGAACAAATAATGATAGCACTTGAACCAGAAGCTGCTGCACTTTCCTGTCTGGAGAAAAGCATGAGCGACTTTCGGTCTGAGACTGGCAGTGGGTCTGTAAAGGGATTGCTGACACAAAATACTCATTACATGGCCGTTGATATCGGAGGTAAGTTGATAGATCATGATGTTAACGTTATATCACCGGTGTGTACCGCTGAACAGGGTATGGTTTAAAAACAGTGTGGTATACAATGTCACTATTTGCCAACTTGAACAAAATATGTACTCTTTTTAGATTAATTTTCCCCTTTCCTAAAAAGTTGAACAGCCACAATTCCATGCGAAGGACTATGAATTGTCAACAAAACTGGCTTTAAAAAAGAAAGGCAAAGGGGAAAAATAGAGCGAGAAAGACAGATCGAAATAGCTTCGCAAAAAGAAACAACAACAAAGTCCAAATTAATTTTGCTCATGCGCATGCACCAAAACCGAAAAACCAGCTTAACCAGTGTTAATTATCCAAATAGCAGTAAATATATATATATATATATATATATATATATATCCTTAGTGTTGAAAATCTCATTCCCTTTCCAATCAGGTAAAACCTGGTCCAAAAAACAAAAAAGAGGAGTTGTTTAAAAATGCGGTGTTTTAGCTACTCGCTGGCGGTCGTTAAAGGATTAAATGAGTGTAAAGGTTGGCGATGAGCGGTCCACAATTTTTTTCATGAAAATCGAATTCCAAGATCTTACTTAAAAAGTACTTATTTGTACCCTAAACGAAATGTATCAGGGTCATGAAATAAGGTCTCTTGTCTTAACAAGAAATCTCCCTAAAAAACGCTTAAATTGTTTTCAACAGCTCCTAATTTGAATAGAAGTAGTGCAAGCATGACGTGGAATTATCGAATACACTCTAATCAGACATCACTGATGACATTTAGCCGTACATTTTGTATCATAATAACATCTGGAATATGCTTTATAGAGTTTACAGTAAAGAGTATCGCTAGTATATGAGGCTTTGCTTCATACCACAATGCCCTGCTGATCATTGCTCCTAGTGAAAGAGCACGATTACTCTCATCCCTTTCATTTCAATTAATACTCTGCCGAATGATGTATTAAGATGCATGGTAAAGGACACATGTTTGGGATGTTTTTGAAACTTTGTTTTGGTACCTTTTTGGTGAATTATACTCTTAACTACACTTATATTCTTGCGCTTTCCTGCAAAAGGAACGCTAAAATTACTACCTTTTCTAAGTTTGAATCATTGTGATCAGTAATTTTTCTTTTCTTTTTTCTTTTTGTTTTGTCGTTTGTTTTGTTTTTTTTTTCTATGCTATTCAGGGGGTACTCTTGACGTTACTGTACACGAGATACAGATGAACGGTTCTATCAAAGAAATCCACGAAGTTACAGGAGGTCAATATGGCGGTAGTAAAGTGAATCAACAATTTGAGAACCTTCTGGATGAGCTGTTTGGAGAAGAGAATGTCCGAAGTTATCGTCGGAAGTTTTGTTCCGACTGGTTATCCTTAACGAACAAATTTGAAGCCAAAAAACGAAGTGACCGAATCTTACAAGAAACAACGATGACAAATATTCCACTACCACGCAGTTTCGTGTATCAGTTGAACAGGAAACAGACTCCAGCTATGCATGCCTATGTGAGAAAAGGTGACATAACGCTGAAGAACGACGAATACCTCTCCCTTAGTTCAGGAATGATGAAGAAACTGTTCAAACCCGCCATTGATTGCATCAAGGACCACCTGAAAGGCCTGCTGCAAGAACCGAAGCTGTCTAAAGTAAAAACCATGCTGCTGGTTGGCGGTTTTGCTGATTCTGCCCTTCTCCAACAGAAAATCAAAGAAGCTTTTTCGAGACAAGTCAGAGTGCTGGTTCCAAACAATGCCAGCGCAGCGGTCGTTGAGGGTGCCGTGGTATTTGGAAAGCAGCCTGGAAAAATTACAGAAAGAGTGGTTTCTACGACGTATGGCGCTGGTTGTTCGCGGAATTTCAATTATGGTGTGCATCCGGAGGAGAAGAAATTCATTGCAGATGGCGTCGAGAAGTGTAAAGATCTTTTTAATCTATTTGTACTTGAGAATTCCTCAGTGCGATTTGGGCAAAAAGTTACAAAAGAATACTCACCTCTTTACGCCAACGACAAAGAAATAACCTATGACTTTTATTCAGCCAGCTATCCAGATACCCAGTTTACTACAGATTTTGGCGTCAAAAAGCTCGGGAGTGTCACGGTTCTGTCGCCTGACACATGGAGAGGTAAAGACAGAGACCTTGAAGTCAGCATGTATTTTGGTGGAACAGAAATCACCGCCACAGCCCGTGATGTTTCAAGTGGAAACGTGGCCCAAACTAAAATTGACTTTTTGCATAAATAAACATTGAGATCGACAGCCTATAATAAGAATTTACCGCTGTTTTAGAATGTGATCTTAGATAAGTAAAATGTTTTAGAATTCATAAACTTAATTAAGATCGTGGTGTGATTTAATCTAATTCATTTCAATTTACCTAGTTTCGTTTGTTCATCCGGTATTACCGCTATTAACGTTTGTAGGCTTAAACGGATAATATTTGTATTTTTCCTGTTGCAGTTAATACTCTTGGAATAGGTTTTGTTATCATGGCACGTTGTTTGGCATATAATATTTGTTCTGGGATGCAAAACTAGTAAGCCTATGAACGTCGAAGCAATTAAATAATAATTATAAAGCTTGTTTGAAAACTCATCCTCTAAGATTAAAAAAACAAACAAACAAACAAATTCTGGGTCATGTCCATAATGCTGTTTAGACGGGCCACTGGTCTCGAGAGGGTGTTCAATTTCGGTTCCTGCCAACTGGTTACTAGTAAAATTGACCCAAATATCTAATATCTAAAGAAGAACCTGAATTGTAAAAGAATTACCACAAACGAAGTACCGAAAAGCTGAAAGGGGGATTAATGTACGCAAAAGTGAAGACCGACTTAAATGGATTGCATTCACAATTAAACCGGCTAATAACAGTGGAAAGACTTTTTTTAAGTTCGCATGAAAATTATATGATCACGCTTTACATTGTTTCGTAGCTGTTATTTTCTCAGTTGAACAACTTTTGCTTATTAGTCAATTTGTAGAACAAAGTTCTTAGTTCAAGAAAATAAGCAAATCTGATTACGGCCTACTTTAGCCCATTTCACTTGAACACCTTCGTATTCTGAAGTTTACAGACGACTATTACATTCTTTGGCAAGAATTGAAGACAAATAACCGATAAACGTTTACTATTTGTTCTTGAATTAAAAGTCCAGAGTGTAGCACGTCTTTCCCTTTCCTCCAAAATAATTATAAAACTGAGAGAAAGCTCTTGAACATTTTTTAAGGCACTTCAGAGGGCTTGTTTGAAGCTGACAATACGAAACGTACGCTGAGTTAGCAATAATTTTATTCCTATTTAGAAAAGTAAATTTAGTACTTAAAATTAAGGCAATTGTTGCAAGTATTCCTGAGTTTGATGAAAAGTGGATCACAAAAAGTAGTTTAAATGTAATCGTATTTTAATGTAATCGTAGCTTAAATGTAATCGTATTTTAATGTAATCGTCTGGTTGAGAGGAGTTCCGAAGCTGATAGGACTGCTGATAGGACTGTTGTTGACAGTGAATAAGACCGAGTAAGACCGTGATATCAACGGACGGATGTAATTATCAGAAATGGAAGTGAATTGTGTATCGTCAGTAAACTACGATATAATAATCCATTTGTTCACTTCATGATTGAATAAAAGGGCTAATTTTTAAAGAAAATGATTTGCTGCGTTTTTTAGGGAGTAGAACTCAAGAAAATTCACTTTTTGATCTACAAAGAGACTCAAAAGCTAACGTTTAGAAACGTAAGAACAAATGAAATAAGGCCATCAAGGTCGTCTCATTTTTACTATGTTATATCTCGGTGTGTTGTTAGTCAAGTTTGTCAGTTTTGTTTAGTCAGGCTATCGTTTGCTTGGTTGGTTATCTGTTTGTTAGTTTGTTTGTTTGTTTGTTTCGCTGAGTTGGTGATTAAATCGTTTGTGACGCTGCCTTAATTCAGCGTTTATTATTATTATTATTATTATTATTATTATTATTATTATTATCATTATTGTTAATTATTTGTTTCTTTTTAAACGAACCCGCTTTCTACAAAGGAAGTCGTTCATGTTAGAAGCGTCGGATTGAGTAAGTAACACAGGCAATCGCTCTTAGTCAATGGGGTCGTTAATTTGCGACAACTAACAAATTGAAACTGGGTTGATCTACCTTCAATAACATATCAAAGCATAAAATGTTCCAAAAAAAGGTTTTTTTGATTTTAATACTTTAATAATCTCTAAGTGTGAAGAAAAGGATCTCACTATCTCGCTTTATAATTATTCAGTAACAGTGAAACAAAGTTATCACCCGGAAACAAAGAACAAGGACGAGGGGGGGGAGGGGAGGGGTTCTTTAAAAAATTTTGGGTGGGAAGTGCCGCTGGGACCCTGGAACCCTTCTCCTATACCAGGCTAGTTCAGTTGAATTTTGCTACCCTATACTAGACTAAACTCCCCCCCCCCCTCATCCCACCCATCCTAGAGTAGCTGTTTTCCAGAAACTACTGAGATCACTAGCACAGTCCAGCCAAAACAAAACCGATTTGATTTTTTTATGTTTTTGAGTGGCCAACTGATCAGTTTTCTGGAGAGTGATACCCTATACTGGACCCAAACTCTCTGATTTATATACCCTATCCCAGTGTAAACTGCTTGGAAATCATACCCTTCGCAGCGGCACATCCCTATATAGCCCATATATCGCAGTATCCCCCCCCCGGAACCATAAATGTATCGTGCTATTTAATTGAAATTATAATTAAAAATAAACGGCACCTATGTTATAAAAGTGAGCTTTAAAAGTTTCACTGATTTCCAGCATACATGAGGTAGAATATAGAGGTGATGACGTTATTTCAATTAGGGATGAAAATTTTCTTAAGGCCGGTTAGGAATCCGAGAGTTTTTCGGACTAATTATAAAAATAAAAGTCCGTTTACCAGAGTAGATCTTGCAAGCCAGAAATTCTGAGTCACAAGTTTTGGTCCAATTTTTAACCTGTATTTAGTGTATAATTGATGTTTACTTCTCGGCCTAAAACCCACAAGAATCCCTTCATTCACAAGAAAAGTGTTCTACAATCTAATCAAATTTGTGACAACTGATACCACCAAAATATCCGTTGATTCTAAGAAAGTCTAATGAGTTTTGTAACGTGTTTGAGAGCATCAAAAGAACCTTTAATTCCAAGAAAGCAAATGAAAAATAACGCGGATAGGAAGGAAAGACGATTCGGTATCAAGTTTTCAAGTTCAAAATGATTGCTGATAAACTGACAAAACATTTTTCTAGCTGATGATTAGCATTTATGAAATATGCAAAGTCAAAAAATAATTGTGGTGTCCAATTGAAGGAAAACTTTGATCATTTTACGAAGATTAAAATCTTCATCTGCATTTCTATGTTTTGTCTACGTTCATCCTCAGTTGTGAGGAATCCCAAGCAGTATCCGGCTGTAGATTATATCTCAGCTCATATCAGCTTGTAACGATGAATAAAATTTGTTTACATGGAATAATTTCTCGGAAAGAGTAGACAGCGAATATGCAGCCGTATTAGGCAGGTAAATGTTCACAGCAACCGGTTTTGGTACGCTACTTGCATATCACTAACGGCATTTTTTAGCTTTCTCTATGTAACAGCCACTTATAGTTTTTTTTCCCTGAAATCTCTCACTATTTGAAACTTCTTTTTCTATTCACATTGCAAACTGCTTTAAATTAAAATCATTGCCCGTGATGTTAAATTCTTGGAAATGGACGAAGTCTGTGTCAATCATGTGACAATAATCCCGCCCCATGAAAATAAAACTGCCTCCCAGAAGAAAGGCTTTACTAGGACGGCAACTACATAGCGAACGGGTGATAAGATTTGGTTAGAATCAGTATACATTTTGCCACCGGACGACAAATCAATGGCATCGGTACATGGTAGGAATATTTTTTATGAGAATATTTTTATTTAAATGCACTTATTGCATTAAATCGAAAACTTGAATCAGATATTAAGAGTTAAAGCGACGTAAGTGGACAATTCAGTTCAATTGAAACTGGCCTGGAGAGCAGACGCGTTCACCGATCTAAATGTTTGGAACAGGCAAATTTTGTCATGATATATATTAATTTTGGTAGATACAAAATACTTACAGAATGGCCTTAATATAATGTGCCAGCTTATTGATTAAAAAAGCAATTCGGCCGTACCTGTTTACAATCATCACTAGATTTTCTTGGAAATACGGTATTAATTAGTGACACTCTTGCATAGAGTAGCGCAGTGATGCTTACAATTAACGAAGAGGGACACGATCACTTTGATCATAACCTACTTTCAGAATTTCGGGCCATATGTAAGCATTTTAATATCAGTTCTGCTTAAGGGAGCCCTTCAAGCAGAACTGATATCAAAATGCATACGTATGACCCGGACTTACTTGACATGTGTTTACTACTACGATCTTAATTCTGGGAAATAGAGGAAGCAATTATGTATTGTTGAAACCCAATCGCGATCACGAAATATATCTTTGCTTTCTCGTAGAAAAATTTATAATTCCCAGCAACTTCAAATCAAAGATCAAGTGCTCACGGTTTCGTGAGAATTCGCTCAGTTACGTTTTTTAGAGAGCGGCACGACAACAAGGCATGGCAGGAACAGGTTTATGTAGATCTGTGCACCTTCAATAAAAAAGGGTGATTTTTTGCGAATTGAGGTTGTTAATACCTAGTAATAAAGCTATTAACATTAAGTGTATATCCTCTATAATTTTCTTTTCATTAATTTATATCATATCCCTTCAATCAGTCTAAGATGCTAAAAAAAGCCATACATGCATTACTGAAGGGATGATCACAGAGTAAATAAAATATAAGTTTTAATTTCTTAAGCAGCAAGCATGTATAATATTGTTACACTCAGTTCATGATTGCCTGAACGCAAAAGGCCTCCATGCGTCAGACATGAATGCTCCAGGCCGGGTGGTACGGACGTTCATTGAGGAATCATCGGGAGGCCCTGTTGTACGAAAATAATACCGATGGTTACCTCAACTATTCGGGGATCATCATTTACATACAAGTTCGATTTTTTTAACTATCAAATATAAACAAAGTCGGCATAGAAGGACAGTGTTAATATTTTCTTTGCTATGACTTGATTTAAAGACTATTCACCAAAGTCATCATACATTGTTGTGGTGGCAATCGACTTTGGCACCACCTACAGTGGATTTGCCTTTTCATTCGTCAAAGACCATGGAGCAAGTCGAGTATTCAAGAGCAGAGGATGGGTAAATGAAGACGGTAAATTATTCGACAGAGAAGACACCCACGTGCTTGCTCCTTAAGCCAGACCTTTCATTTGATTCTTTTGGATATGAAGCAGTAGAGAAGTATGCAAATCTTCAAGATGAATCAAGTGAACACGCATATTACTTTCTAAAGCATTTTAAGATGAATCTTCACAATGACCAGGTGAAATACGGTAGTAGTTGTGCATGCTCAGATAACTCAGGGATTCGGTCATGTTATGATAATTTGATAAACTGCTTTTACAACTAATTGTTCTGTTCCCAATGTATGGATGTTCATGGCCCAGTTGACTGGGCACTGCATCGCCAACGCAGAGGCCTGTTTCACGAAAGTCCCAGTATATTTTTTTCGGGCCCAGAAAGCTGCTTTCTGTTTGCCGCGTTTATATTCAAGATCCGAAGTTCAATAATTTGAAAATGTTAAAACAAAACTATCAGTTAACGAAGCAAAATTGACTGGTTTATGGCCGAACTGTGCTACTATTGAACAGATTTTGATTTTAAAATTGGCCTTCGGGCCCGAAAAGTTTCGGGCCTTTCGAGAAAGGGGCCTCAGAGGTCGAATCTCGTTGAAGCACCAAAACTCAGTTTCGCGGTAATTTGCAATTGCTTTAATAACTGTTTTAATAGCTATCTCAACTGCGACGATCCTTGCATATCTTCATATTATTCACCACTGTAATTGCATGAGTTTTAAGGGGCCATTACGTTTTTGCGAAACATGATTAAATTCATCATTATTTTTGGTTACAGCAAGAGAGGTAACAGATAGTGGTTATTTGAAAATAAACGTGAAATGAGTTACTATTTGATAGAATAGACCTCTTTAGCTTGTTTGTTTCTTTTTTTCTACAACAGATCTCAACGAAATTCAACTTTTATCTCAGGGGCACCCAACGAGAATATAGTTCAAAACCACTAAAACATAACATTGTTAAACGTTTTAGTATTTCAACAGTGGATATGGGCATATTTTTATCCCCTATAAATTTTTCGTCGGTTCGGATTTCCTAACTGAAAGTCTAGTGATCCGAAAATTATAAAGATCAAAACTTACCTGTTCGAAAATTTCAGCCAGAAAAAAGGCTTCCGAAAATTTTAGGTGACCTTTTTAGGGTAAAAATCCGTTGAAAATGGGCAATTTTACCATTTTTTAGATGTTTGAAAATCCTAGGAGAGGCAGGCAGCAAGAAATTTTACAACAAATGTTCCGAAAATTCTAGATCTCGAATCGTCTTCCGAACAGATATTTTTCAGAAAATTGTCGTTGGGTGCCCCTGTTTATCTTCTGCTTAATTAGGCGACACAAACACATGGATGAGAAGAAATTTGAAAGAAACAGTTCTCTCACATACGCTACATCCGGTCCTACATTGGGAAATCGAGACATTCATGTTATGGAGGTCTAAGCATGTCTGAAGCCTTGATATTCTGCTTTATTTCATCACTTGCCATTACTTTACAGTTTCAGTTTGTTTATCCATACACTTTGGACACTTGACCAACCGCTTGATTTCATCATTTACCATTTCTTTACAATTTCAATGTGTTTATCCCTAGACTGTCAGTACGGAAACAACTATAAAAGCAGCGAATGGAAAACCCGTCCGAGCCTTGAAAGTGTTTTCTCACTCAATTAAGTTTCTGAAAGATGAAGCTCTTAAGGTCATTTGTGAACGGACTGGAGATAAATATTTCAACGTAAAAGACATCCAGTGGGTGCTAACTGTTCCAGCTATATGGACCCCGGTAGCAAAACAGTTCATGAGAGAGGCTGCTTATAAGTTTAGGCCCTATAGAGATAGTTTGTCCTTTTGTGTAGTCATGTTGCTTGATTTTATTTCTAACAGTCGTTTTGCTAACTTAAATTTATTCTTTGTTGATGGATATGTATAGATCGACTCAAAAAAGACTACTACTCAGGTCTTCTTAGAAGAAGCGCTATATGTATATGCGTTATTGACCAAGCGTGAGGTCAAGATGGCTGGATATTGGCCGTCAATTGAATACGCAAAAAAGAACGAGGCCAATATTAATCCGTCTTGGGTGACCGAGCAAGTTTGGTTAATAAAGAATTTATTATGTGGCCAAAAAAATAACAACTATTGCTCGCGGGACCCAACGTGGGAAATCCTGATCCTGAGTGGGCACGATGGGTCCATCTTGCCCGCTTGGGTAGTCAATCAGAATCCAGGATTCGCTTCATCTTGCCCGCTCAGGTGGATCCAGCCATATAATAATATGGGATGTGTCACTGCCGAGGACCTGACATATTATTATTCAGAAGGAAAACCCTGAATTTTTTTTAAATTCTCAGGGGAGATCCATACACTGAAAGTTTAAAAACTAGGCATTTTTAATGGTTTAAGTCTAGAGTAGGTTATCACGATCTATCATTTCGCCGCACTGGGTCCTAGTTAACGTCTTCTTTGTTGTTGGTCAAAACGAAAAATAGGAAAACTCATCTCATGTAATTTTAGACGTCATATCTGGCAACGATAAATGAAGAGAGGAAGTTCTGGCTCAAGAAATA